TGAAATGGAGGCTCATAATTTGAAACCAGATAGCGACGTGTTATATACAGTTACAGACAGCTGTAAAAATACTCTTTATTTCAGATAGTAAAATCACGAATATTCTAACAAAGCACCTAATATACTCTGACGTCAATGCACACCGTCATAAACATTATTAAATATTCTGAGATACAATATAAACGTTACATAAATACGAAGCAGTATTTTAAAATGTCTTTTAAATGACTCGACGACATGCCGTGACCCTCGCGAGATGTCATATGGGACAGTAAGCTTGTGCGCTCGCGCCAATGTTAAAATAAATGGTAATGAAAGCGAATGTAGATTCCTCAGTACAAATAGAAAAGAAATATTACATATCTTGAAACATAAAGTTTACTAAACCGTAAAATCAAATTCAAAATAAACAATAACCAACTGTTTTTGCATCGTATACGATGTTATAAATTACATACTGACGAGGTGGATAAGATATAGCTGAGTAGACGGATTCTTAAAACAACTTTGTATACTCAAAACATTGGCATCTCCAGCATTTCTATCAACACACAATCGCTCGCGTTCAACAATGACCGCTGGATTTCTGTTTGTATATTTCTACACCTCTCTTATTCTTTATGTTTCATTGTACTATCGTATGAGTTGACATTCAAGTCTCATCGGCAAATAGATCGAGGCCGGCGTGGCATTGTCTATACCCGACTATTTTCTCCTTTAACACGCATAGCGAACTTGATCCAAATCCATGTAGTCCGCCAAAAACCGCAACTCAGTTCTGCCAAAGCAGACGATTACGACACTCCTCAGTACGATAATTCTATTTTGATTATTACCTTCGACCGTTTATTTTAGATGACGAATAGCCTTACGATATGGCTCAGTGCGCAGACTATATTTGATATCAGAATAATATATTTACCGCAACTCTGTGCTCGTTAAATTATCTAGGAATTTTAAAAGCTCGTTTTACCGATTCGTGCTGTTGAGTATGTTCTTAAACATCGTTAGTAGTTTGATACGCATACGCATGAACGTTTAAGGCCCATTTAACAATAATTATGAATATAAAATGTGACCTAAATATGATTTATGTTATTTCGTACAAGCCGCCACATAATGGAAATTTGGCTACAAACACGTCTGACACTTTGACGTCTCTTTCACCATGAAATACAAAAAAACACCTGAAAATACATAATCGGTTCAGCTGTAATCTGCAAACTATAACCTCTGGAACGTAGGTATCTATCACAGTCCAATCTTGCTTGGCGACTATCTCTGTTTATCGTAGCAGACCGACTCATAAACGAACATCTGGTCCTAGCAAAATGAAAATGAAAATATAATTTCTATCAAAACGTCAGCTTCCATTTAGCAAACCAAATATTGATTCATTAACGTGTGGCAGTAATAAACAAGGCTAGTTTAGAATGAAGGGAAAATTACTCTTGCGTGTATCAAACTAAAAAACGCAATCTGTATAAATTACCTTTATTTCGTTATAGTAACCGTAGTGAGTACATTCGTGATAATAATAGGCCCAGTTGAATGGAACACATTAGAAGCTACCGGATGCTTAGTTGCAGAAAATTGCATTCTATTTATACCGGGTGCCAACATCAACAAAACCTACTTCTTCATTTCACACCGCCAGTCATTGATCTCAGAGTAGGTCGGATGCGTACACGCAGTGTTGCAATACTACCTGCATTTCAACACGAATGATAGTCGCAAACCGAATAACGAGGAAATGTGGGAAACCATAAAACAACAGTCGAAAATACTACAAAATATTGTTTACCCATAACTTACGCATACTATAAACATAATTGATATGATGCACCATTAAAACTTTATGGCGGAATAGACGACATTGAGCTTCCTACAGCTCTAAATCATAAAGTAAATAATAATTACAAGAGTTAATGGAAAACATGTGTCTTATTACTGAGTTTAATTAGTCATAAAAGGCAAGAGTTTGCCAACCACGTTTAAATTGATGATTAATTAATACCGAGCCACTTTCATAAAAGTAAAATGGTGCCACACGCTTTTGACCTACTTATGTAAATCCATTGATGTCTCAAGTACAATAAGAACCGAATTTTACCGTCACAAAGTGTGTTTACTGATTTACCTCGAAGAATGTGTAAACAATTCAAAATACAAGAAAACAATGAACACAATTGGAGCTGTAATTACATTTAAGTGTTCCAATTTTACATAAATAATTTGATAAACAATGACGAAGTGCTTCTAAAATATCGGACAACGTGGATATTAATTGATGGGCTATAAAATAGTACGCTAGCCGAGCTAGAGTGATTTTTAATCGCTCGTTAAAGCTGTAGCGATCATTTATTGCCGGTCATCCGGTCCAGCTCACATGTATGAGCATCCATTACTATCAATCAGAATTCGATGCACATCTGCGGATCAAAGGGAACATTGACTTGGAGTGCTGTTCTCAATCAGCAGTTGCACAAGTCAGATTAGGAAACTACTCCAACTGGACTACTTTTATCAACCTTTACCCTTCGTACATCTGTTGGTATCATTTTAATGTACGGGTAAATCCAGGTAATTTGCAGAACAAAAAATATTACACGACTAACTGTCAAACACCGCGAGGACACCGGTGACCGCAACCTATTGCTCTTTAATTGTGTCTATAATGACGGTACTCAAAGGGTTAAGTGAAGTTGAAGATCCGTGTTAAACTAGATGTAAAAGAAAAAGAAAGTAAATTAAGAATCAATACACATAATTATGTAATTTTTCAAGAGCTTCATCATTCAGTAGAAGGCATTGTTAATGTTTTTTTGAGAAATCCGTAACATTTCCGGTAGTCAACAGTTACCCGAATGACTTGACAAATTGCCCTAATGGAACACCACGAAAATTCTTACATTGTCGTTATAGCAAAAAGGTCTTTGATGTATCTTATTTATGAACTATAAAAAGTTGTTTTTTTAAGAATTATTAGGTAGCGTGGGTAACTTTTAAAGTTTTAATAGTCACTGAATTAACTCCACGAACTTCAGGTACGATTTTCTCACTAATCTCTATATCAAAAGCCAAACTTAAGTGCCTAATCACTTTATATAAACGCTTATCAAATTATGTACCTAGTTAGGTATCACCATATTCTCTAACACTGTTTCAGACTCTAAAATAAACGTTAACATTGGCATTCAACTGTTTCCCTGCGGTTTTCTATTTTCACTCTCTAAATATATTCCAAGTACTTCACACAAGGTTGACATTTTTCCGTGGCTGTCGTGAAATCGATATCGCAAACCCGTTCTTTTAAATTCTCATTAGACATAAGACGTCACACGTATTTAGTATAATTACTCCACGTCAAACAAAATTTTCTGATAAAACTTATTGAAATAAGATATAAAACTAATGTTTTGATCAATTACTAACCAAACCATGTAAAGGCCACTGGTCAGTTTTATTATATATTTAGGTAAGCATTTATTTCTATTTCATTTCATTTGACACATTATCAACGTAATAATTAAGAACGTCTGAAGATTTACTACAACTACAGAGTGACGGTGCGCAATGTAGCTATGTATTTCAAACGTTGAAACGTCTAATTCTCTTGATTGTATCTGCGTATTGGCGTAAACACTTCAAGCCTCGTGGTCAAAAGATTCAATGCAATCACGCCTACAGCCTGATTATATTTACTAGAACATCATTTTGATTATGACTGATCCGTCCAATCTGTTAGGTGAAGACATGATGGGAAAATATTCAGTATCATAGATCAGCGTCATTGGATAGTTTATCTTTGCCAACAGCAGGTACCTAAACACCAATGTCGACCTGTCGGCCACGATCCAATTGTACAGCAATAATTATTATCCACCCGATAATCAACATCCACAAATAGTTATTTCGTTTGCTATAAGAATATGCAAGTGACGTCAAAGGAAGGGCCCAGCAGCGCAAAAGCTACTGATGCAGAAAACAGCCTGAAAACTTAATTTCGCAATGATAACTGAAATCCACTTAAAAACCGATAAGCTTGTGTTTGTTCTGTACAAGCTTATCTTGATAAAACACATGATATAAGCTAGTCGTTATTTTATCCCTCTCGACAAGGTCGATTGACGATTATTGAAAGCTCTTTCGGTCCATCAGCTAAACCTTTATAAATAACATATTAAATAAAAAAGGAGAACCTTTTTAATAGTCGTAAACAGAAGTAACCATCATACAACAAGGTCCGGGAGCTCGAGCCGGGCAGCGACCGCTATAAAAAGATCATCATAGGACGGTCGGTGACGGCCGCCGTGCGACATGCAACCCTGGAAAGCGACTCGACTGTGCCATCGAGTACTGTTGCCAAAATAATTAAAGAAATCTCCGACGGTGTCCCTCCACCGCGCCCGCGCCGCTCTAAAATCGTCGCTCTTCGCCCGGGAGTCACTACTCGGGGCGCGGCGGGAAAACATCTCCCGCGCCACTCTTATTTCTTCTTTCCTTCCCGACGCTGTCGAAAAAAAAAATATTCCAGTAAGTTTCATAATACCACTATAAAACCAAACAACCGTGAGTGTAGTAACCCCAAGTGCAAATTAAGTGACATACCAGTTTGAAAAGGAAATTAGTGAATATAAATAAGTGATAAAAGTGTTACATAACGCGAAACAAATTTCAGAAATTTAAAAATACCGCACTTTGTAGGCGCCTATGGCACAAAAATAGCTTTGCGTCACGTGGTACAAATTCGACCTATAGCATAGCTCCACATTTATGTATGATCGTAAAATATAATAAGTTTTCAAATAACCAAAATACTAGTAATTTCGTGATTCCTTTTATTGCCAATTAGATATTATAACCATTTAGAATTTTAAGAAGGGAATATAAAATGTTATTGAATAAAAGGATTCTCAGTTGACCAAAATAGTTTCTACATCACATAAAAGGTGGCGCTACGATCGATCGTACTTCTACGTCAGTTTCGTAAAAAATGACGGCTGCATTAGATACGTGTTCGTGTCGTTTATGATATTTACGAGAAAAAGTATTAGACTAGTACAAATTTTAGTAACATTAACTGTATAAAGTAAGAGTTAAAGCTAAAAATAAGTGGAATATTAAATAAGATAGACACTTCTCATGTATAAAAAAAACTTGTGGTGAGTGGTGCAGTGGTCAAACGGTGCTTGCTATCTAGGAAATAGCTCGTTAAATCTAATAACTTTAATAGTCTTCCCATTTTACTAATATCTGTAAGAATAGAAAAGTGGAATTCAATATCTGTAGTCGTAAAAATTTGGTTCTTCTTTTTTTGTATTTAAAAAAATACGTAGTTTTAGTTTCAAGGAACTGTTTCACTCTCTTGAAAGATAAAAGTAATATTTTTGTTTTGTAACTTTCCTTAGTTCGTTTCAAATCTTAACAAGTGCAATGAATTAAAATAGGTCGTATTTTAAAATTGTCTTACAAAAGCAACATAACCTCAAAGCTTTCAAGTTGATAATGATGACTCGTCATTTCTAACCTATATTTTGTTCTTGCTTTTTAGAACTGACGGCAACGTAGATATTCCGCCATGGAGGACGCTCACACGAAATCCGTGGATGAAGTCCTAGGGTACTTCGGTACCGATCCAGACAAAGGCCTTAGTCCAGATCAAGTCAAGCGGAATCAGGATAAATATGGGCCAAATGGTAAGTAAAATATTTACTGGAAACATGTAAACAAATTCACATCACTTTCATGTGTGTGCTTTTCGGAATTTGGTAAACTATTCAGAACAGTTGTTTAATCCTGCTATGTTGGTATGAAATCAACACCACAGATAAGTTACAGGATGTATTGAATTTTAAACCGAAATTATTATGATGTTCTACATAATTGATTACAAAGTTAATACCGAAGTAGACAAATTATCTGACAGTCAAAATCTTTGCCTCTATTCTGTGTGTGTGACATCATCAAATAACAATTTAATTCAAATCTGGTTAACATATTTAATATGCATACACAGGTAGATTTGTATAGCCAGTTTTCTTGCACAAAATGTTGTTTCTTTTTAATAAGAACGCTATTGCTAATGGTGGCTACTTCTAATTATGTTGTGTCAATAAATAGTCCATTGTATTAGGTAAATGTATTGACTACAGATTGCTAATTTATGAATAGTCTATTGTTAGTTGCAATGATATTATTTTTAAACCTACATTTTTGTTACAATTTTTATCTTATACTGATAGTTTGTTAGAATGACAAAATAAATGTTATGTACTTTTATATATTATCCGTTCCTCGGTAATCAGGTTTGGCAGCGGTATTAAATTATATATTTAAATAATTTCCTAGGCTATCAGTCAGGGTCATTTGATATTTTGCCAGACGCTTAGACTTGGCCGTGAATCATTAATCTTGGAAAGATGAGGACTCCTTTGAGATAAAAATAACAAAGTAATCGAGGACATAACTACTTTAATACACAAGTTACAAGAAAAAAATTGAAGTAATGTTTTAATAAAAGTTTAAAATGATAATTATTTAATTGGCTAGGCTTATTATGGCAATCATATTAATTTAATAAATTAGATAAGTATTCTTTATCAAGTTAATCTAAGTTGTCATTGTGGTACACCCATGATGATGACATTATTGTTGCCATATTATTATTATTTAAGTTACAGATTCAGCTACATGATGTGTTTGAAAATGTCAAAAATCCTTAAAATTCTACCTAATGGTTTCTACAATGAAACCAGTTAAATGTCCAAGTCACTTGTTATATCCTGTTGAGGAAAAAACATACCATTGAATTCATAACTTTTTGTTTTTTATAACATAGACTAGCACTCTTACCTCACCCAATCTAAGGTAATGCTCAGGAAATTAACTGCATCCTAGCAATTTGTTGTCCTTTATGTTTATTGAGTAGCAACATCTTATACTGCCGTTGCAATTTCAATTTAGTATTATACAATGAAAAATGATTCCATTGTGATATCATGTTACTTATATGAACAAAGGAGATACAAATATTTTCTTTACCTACTCTAATGATAACTCATTATAGGTGTAAAACAAAAAATCTGAGGAAATTGTTCTATAAACGAAATATGTATAGCTACTTAAAGAAACATAAATGAACATGTTAGAATAATTAATAGCTTTGGTCCACATGATACACTTGAATGAAAGTATCGCCGAAAGATGTATTTCCTTAATTATAATTTTAATTCATATATACGGCTGTAGGCGAAGTGTAAATGATTCAACTCGTAAGTAATCTCCCCATACCGTGCACCGTAGCTAATCGCACGCAGATAACGCTGAATCCTATTGAATATTTTCATAATGAACGGCGCACATTTGCTTTGTAGAGAAAATCTCTGTTTACATATACTTTTAATGTTATACTCGCGTGATTTGCTTCAGCTGTAAATGGTTACATCTATATAAACTGCACCTTAAGAGCATTGTAGGAACGCTAAAGACTATCAATTGTACAAACTCATAATTGCTTGTTATATGAAACGTTTTGTATTCCTTAATTCGGTGCAGTCTTCCCTAGCCCAGCCTTGCTATCTCGTGGTCCTTCTTATTGTCATGACAAGAGTCTTTAATTTACAGGCTAGTTTAATACTTAATTTTCATTGCCCTGTTTTACCGTCAAATAACCCAAGACGGGTCGTTAGTATTGACACTAATACTTATGGGAGTTTTATCTTATAAGTCACCAATTAAATATTTGCGAACAGCTACGAGATAGTATAAAAACTAGATATTTCGCAATCTTTACCCTACGTGGCTACGTGTTTCAATATAATAAGGAAACATTGTTTATTTTTTATGTTGGTACTAATAACATTTTAATACTATGAATATTTGTCTGGCGTTGAAAACATTTACAGAGATTTCCTTTGTTAGGACAAAGTAGAAAAATATAATCCTTTATCTATCTTATTTGTAGGTAGTGCCGATAAGATGTTGGTATTTAGAACAAGTTCACAAATCTTGTATAAGTATTTATAGACTCATTATTATAAATTCTAATGACGTATATCCAAACTTATGACGTATTATTATTAGTTGAGAACAGGTCTTAAAATATGTCATGGGACGAATAGGTCGCTGGTGTTACTCGTTGCGGTATGGGGTGGGTGCGACAGTGATGTTTATTTATAGTGGGGACAGGTGGTCGATCACCAATGAGGCGATGGAGGCTGTCAGTGGTGCGTGTGCACCCACAGGCCACGAGGGACGGACCCTCACGCGTGACAACGTTCATGTTACCTACTTATAACACCTTGCTCTTTCGTTAAAACAACGTGCCTTCTAGATAATAGAAGTTTGCCATGAAGCACGTCGATAACCAGTATGATAATAAACTAGATACATAATATAATTGGTCTGTATGTAGTATTTTAAAAGTATAAATCATTGTGTTTGAAAAAAATTGCACACGTTTGCAGACCAGCATTACAAAACAATGTCAATTTTTTTTTAAGATCCTTTTATTTTTAATTATAATATGTTAACATTCAGTAGGGACCATCATAACGATCAATTTTATTATTCATCACTTCCAAATCACCATTCACTTGTGTAGACTTGGTATGATGATAACACCGTTAGAGAAAAAAACGCCGCTTGCGCGAGATCCCGCGAGACTGGTTGTTTATTTTCTCGACTTCGTACAACTGACGATTATTTTGCTGCGGAAAACATAAACTTCACGTCACTTTACTCGGCCAGGCGCGGTCACAATAACGAAACGAAACCTGGCAAGAACAAACTTTAAAAACAAAACTATGTCGTCAGCGTTACTTACTTAGACTTGCTTTAAAATTATTTACACTGCTCATTCACGTCTGCTTTATGAACATCAAAGCATTCTAATCAGTTGACCTCGAATTTTCAGATCTCTGTAAGTTTGTTTTACCTAAACAGTTCTAAACATAAGTCAGCAATATCATCCTCTACGGTACTTATAATATTCACTCGGCAATTCGTTATTAAACCTTAACACCTAAGAAACGGGTGCACTTCTCTGGAAGCATTGAGTGCAACGTTTCGATGTTATGGTGGCCATACACAGTTTTGCGTGACTGTTGCAACCGCAAGGTTATGCGAATCTATACAGGCATGTCCGAGTTGTATTATACTGATAACTGTACACTTTTATCACACACACGCTAGGGTTTACATGCACATTTTTGCATGTAGGTACGGGCCAAAACCTAACGTGTATGGCCACCGATACAAAAATACTGAAAAGTAAAATCTGTTACGAAAGAAAAACACCTGAAATCGAACATTTTCACTCCACTTTCGATCTCATCAGTAGATCAGAATGCCTAAATAGTGTTCTACTCCACCATTGCTAATTTATCTTCAAACGTAAGCATAAATTCTGCAATTTTTGCATAATACTTGTAAGAAATATTCTTAGTCCTGATCTTGTACTCCAATTGCTAAAGGTAGTCAATAGTTATCAAAATTAAATAAGACCGATTGCTTCTAATGAAACTCAATGGTTATCCGATACTCGTTCAATAATCATTCGTCCTCGAAACATAAAAACCAACATAATGTACGTAATAACAACATCACACGAGTAGCTTCCGATAAAACGACACCGATAAACAGTTATATCTGTAATGCGTTATATGTTCATTAGCCAATTCTAATATTTTGTGGCTTTTTTGCAAATGTCTCGCCACCAAGGGTTACGCCACCGCGGCACCGTGCTATTCTCCATGGATATATCTGCCTAAAGGGAATGTCGAAGTGCTTCGCTGCGTCATCATCAGCGTGTTGAATTATAAGTGCTGGAGTGCATTAAGGAGTAGATAGCGTACGGCTAGCCCGGGAATGCCGACCGCTCCCGCGGCGAGATTCGAGTGCCTAGTGGCTGAAATATTATATAGGTACCCAGGTTTATTTTGGACGATCTACGTTGGCGGATTGCGTCTACGAACGCGGCTGACGCGCGATCCACACGACCATTGCACGTTCCAATATTTTATCTGTTAGAAAATTCTTTTATCTTTTCACCACCAAACTGTAAAGACTCTAACGTTTTGCTACACTATATTTACTGGCAGCGTATATGAGGTCACGTCAAGTTTATTGTATTGCTTTCTATTAGGCAGTCTATCAGCGTTTTTTATTCTACAAAATAGTGCAAACATAATACATTTTTTTATCAAATGTCGAAGCCTCTGATTCCATACCAACTTAAAGAATAAACATTGACAAAAAGATACTTTCGTTGTGTTTTTTCTTGCCATTTTTTGAGATCGTCGAAAAACTACTACAGTTATCTGATAGAGGTCGCGAAACAGAAAACACCGTCTCAGTCCTTTCTTTATCGTACTTTCACCTTATTCCACTGTCGCATAGAAAGTTTTATACATCACCAGCGTATGTTACAAATAATCGAATTCTTCTACGTATTCTAAATGGAACTTACGCCTTGGATAAACTGGACTCACCTATGTACACACATAGTAAGCCGGTTGAGGTCATCCATTTGTTACTATTGCAACTGATAATATTCACAACCTATTTATAATGTCAACGCTGAAATAGCTAATTTTCCTTATCCATTGTTTTCATAAACTGTTAAAGTTTGTCCTCTTACAGACTGAAGAAGCCAATATAATTGATATCTTTATGGAGTGGATGTTCCGTGACGGTATATTATGTATTGTGTTATAGTATTGACAGTCTCGTCACGTATACAATGTACGCTATTTTGACGTGGGTTGTCCAGGACGTGACACTTAAGCGTATGGTGGGCGTCCTCGCGATTTTATGTGCCGTGGTTAGTTTTATTGATGACCGCCAGTGAGTAGAGATGCTGACACGGCGATATCGATGCGTTGACTAATTGCTTACATTAGTCATGGCGGCATGGCTGGCAGTCGAACTGCGTACGCAAATAGAGTCGATACAACGATTGACTTAGAGCACGTTGCCCGATTACACTCTACGATTAAGACATAGAAAACATTAAATTGATTCCACATACAATTTCCTTTGGCCGCTATCTGTGCAGTGTCCAAAACTCATTACGAAATACGCATCCAAATGAGCTCTCTCACTTAAAAACTCCCGAACATGACTGGGAGGATATTCTAATTGTAAGTATAAACGTTTAATACGAACGTCACGATTTGTCAATTTATGTCTGTACTAGTTATTAGGCAAATAGAAGATCGTATTAGTAGTAAAGTGCGCTTGAGCCGTTGTTGTTACGTAGGAACTAAGTGCGCGCTTTGAGGTCACCATGCAGGTCGCGCACGGCTCGGAGACGTGGTCCGCTAACTGCCCAGCAACTACTTAATCATAAACAACATTGTGCCAAAATATACTTTATCGTCTATTTAAATCGCGGATTAAAATAATGATCGCGATAAAAAATCTGAATGTCGTACAAACAAAAATAAGTTCCACGACCCTTACTAAACAGATAAATAATTACTTACAGTCTACAGATAAACGTTGAATAAACGCTCGAGACGTACGTCACAAAGGTTTTTTTTTGTAGGGCACGATGCTAACATTGAGTAAACCAAATGCTAACACGTAACCTTCTACGGGAATATGTAATGACAAGCGTAGTAGTACTATGCTAGAAATCTTTATACACAAGGTCTTATGAACAAAATCGTTCAATAAAATAGTGTAGTTATAAAATGTTATGGTCTTAAATTTTATTTTATTCTTCTGCGTTATTGTGTGTGCGACAATGGTTACATAAATCCTTACGTCTGCTTTTAAAAATATACCTAATAATTGTCGAACTGTCTTAGCATATTTATCAATATCTAGTTAAAATCAAAGAAGTGCGATAAATCGCTATCGCACAAACCGTGTTGTGTACCTTGATTAGCTGCGTGCTAGTAAATATTATCACACGTGGTCTACTTTGTTTTGGATTTGTTAAATTTTGCGCAGTATCCGAATAGAAGCCGGTTTGAACGCGTACTGATACTGATAACATGGTAATCAAAATAAGCCTCGTAGAGTACGAGTAGACACCGACCAGCGATGTTGAAATACGTAGCCGATATTTGCATTTGACGTCACTATTATTGGCCGAAATGGTTGATCGGAAACCTCTGTGCCGGGCTACCGGCGCCGCGGCCGCTGCCTTTCGCTCCGACAGTGTATTTATGTACGCTCGTAACTGCCGACATAGATCGCATGCCTGTTCTGACTAGTTTATCGCCTGTTACGTTAACTCCTTTGATCTTTTATTCAAAATTCTAATTATGGTTCTTTTCTCTTTTCAGAACTGCCTGCGGAGGAGGGTAAGCGCATCGATTTGATGAATATTTCAAAGCTAACCACTGACTGACCCACATTAAACGACACAATATTCCGATTCCTTATCAACTGTGACCGAATCGCAGTAAAGTCCTTTTAAACTCGAAAATTATAAATATGTTGTTAAGTAGTGAATAACTGAAATACGACACTAAAATACTATACTTAATAGATAATACTATATTATACCCAATTGTATGTTAATTATGCAGTAGGCACCCGAAGTATTAATACGCACAATGATTACTTACCACAGCCAAGTTGATTTTACATCCAACATCTCAAATCTATATCCAATTAAAAAAATGTCAAATAAAGGTATCAAGTCAGTGCCGTGAGACACTTCTTGTTTACGTCGAATGTGTTAAAAAATCGCGTTTTGTTTAATGTTGTCGTCAGATTTTCAAAACATGGACAAACAGAAAACATTTTTATAATTCCATTTTGTACCAATGTTTATTATTAAATCCCCGGTACTTATTTAAAACCTGCTGTAACACTTCTCTGCTGATGCAAAGCCCCAGAGATGCAGTTCATTCAGGGTGATCCCTTCGGTTAACTGGTAGAGAATGCCAAACAGCTTTAAGTCCGCCACTGTGTAATTATCCATAAAGTGTTTCAAATAAATAAATAATCTCGACATAATCCCGCTCGATTTAGTTAACACATGAGTAATAATAATAGGGAATAATAGTAATAATTTACTAATTGTATTTTGTTTCTTATAGGCAAAAGTATATGGCAGTTAGTCCTGGAACAATTCGATGACCTTTTAGTAAAGATTTTGCTGTTAGCCGCTATCATTTCATTCGTAAGTATTATTTATTTGCTTATTATACACATAAAAGTAATGTATGTCGCTTAGGTGTTTAACAATTTTATTTTCGTTTTACAGGTTTTAGCTTTATTTGAAGAACACGAAGACGCATTCTCCGCCTTCGTAGAGCCTTTTGTTATTTTACTTATTCTAATCGCTAACGCTGTAGTAGGAGTATGGCAGGAGAGAAATGCCGAATCCGCCATCGAAGCTTTAAAAGAATACGAACCCGAAATGGGTAAAGTAGTCAGAGGAGACAAATCCGGTGTACAGAAAATCCGAGCCAAAGAAATTGTACCCGGTGATGTCGTTGAGGTGTCAGTCGGTGACAAAATCCCCGCTGACATCCGTCTTATTAAGATTTACTCGACCACTATCCGTATTGATCAGTCCATTTTGACCGGAGAATCTGTCTCCGTCATCAAGCACACAGATGCCATTCCCGACCCCCGCGCCGTCAACCAGGACAAAAAGAACATTCTCTTCTCCGGTACCAATGTCGCCGCTGGCAAAGCCCGTGGTGTGGTCATCGGCACTGGTCTCAACACTGCCATTGGTAAAATCCGTACAGAAATGTCCGAAACTGAGGAGATTAAGACACCCTTGCAGCAAAAACTGGACGAATTCGGTGAGCAGTTGTCTAAAGTCATCTCAGTTATTTGCGTTGCTGTATGGGCCATCAACATTGGTCACTTCAACGACCCCGCTCATGGTGGAAGCTGGATCAAAGGTGCCGTCTACTACTTCAAGATTGCCGTCGCTTTGGCTGTCGCCGCTATCCCTGAAGGTCTGCCCGCTGTCATCACCACTTGTCTCGCTCTTGGTACCAGGCGTATGGCTAAGAAGAACGCTATCGTGAGGTCACTGCCCTCTGTGGAGACCCTTGGTTGCACATCTGTCATCTGCTCAGACAAGACCGGTACTCTAACCACTAACCAGATGTCCGTTTCCCGTATGTTTATCTTTGAGAAGATCGAAGGTAGCGACAGCAGCTTCCTTGAATTTGAGATCACTGGTTCCACCTACGAGCCTATTGGCGATGTTTACCTTAAGGGTCAGAAGATCAAGGCTGCCGAGTTTGACACTCTTCACGAATTGGGCACCATTTGCGTTATGTGCAATGACTCTGCTATTGACTTCAACGAATTCAAACAGGCATTCGAAAAGGTTGGTGAAGCCACTGAAACCGCCCTTATTGTACTCGCTGAGAAAATGAACCCCTTCAATGTCCCCAAGACTGGACTGGACCGCCGCTCTTGCGCTATTGTTGTACGCCAAGAAATCGAAACTAAATGGAAGAAAGAGTTCACTCTTGAATTCTCTCGTGACAGGAAATCTATGTCCACTTACTGCACACCTCTTAAGCCTTCTCGTCTTGGCAATGGACCCAAACTGTTTGTTAAGGGTGCACCTGAAGGTGTGCTCGACCGTTGCACACACGCTCGTGTTGGAACTGCTAAGGTTCCTCTGAACTCTACCCTCAAGAACCGCATTCTGGACCTCACCCGCCAGTACGGTACTGGTCGCGACACACTCCGTTGCTTGGCCCTTGCTACTGCTGACAGCCCACTGAAGCCTGACGAAATGGATCTCGGAGACTCTACCAAATTCTACACATATGAAGTCAACCTTACATTCGTTGGTGTAGTCGGCATGTTGGACCCTCCACGTAAAGAAGTATTCGACTCTATTGTCCGCTGCCGTGCTGCTGGTATCAGAGTTATCGTCATCACTGGTGACAACAAAGCCACCGCTGAAGCTATTTGCAGGTAAAAATTGTTTCTATACCAATTTCCCTTAGTATTGAACTGTTGATCCCTTTTCATCCTCTCATCTATCAATTCAAAGACATCCACATGCTAGGCTGAAATTTCTGAAGATTTAACAGAGCATATGTATTGCAGACGTATTGGAGTATTCGGTGAAGATGAAGACACTACTGGCAAATCTTTCTCTGGTCGTGAATTCGATGACTTGCCCGTATCTGAGCAGCGCGCCGCCTGCGCAAAGGCTCGCTTGTTCTCCCGTGTGGAGCCCGCCCACAAGTCCAAGATCGTAGAGTTCTTGCAGAGCATGAACGAAATCTCCGCTATGGTACGAAACATCAATTTTTTATTACAATACATATACACATGATGACTAATAAACTTTAACACAATTTGTTATTTTAAATGAACACAAAATCCTAAGTTTAAAAACAAATAAACAAAGTAACTGTTACATTGTTCACGATATCTTCATAATTTACTGGAACCCCATTCGCTAATGTTATTGAATGTTTACACTTTGCAATACATATTGGTAGTGTTTTGTTTACGTTAAGGCAACAGTGTTTATAAACTTGACCACTCGAAAATTATCATCGAAGAATTGTTAGAACAGTAATAGTTCTGTGGTTTGTGAAGTCGATGACATGTGCATTATGACGTTACAGACTGGTGATGGTGTGAACGACGCCCCCGCTCTCAAGAAGGCTGAAATCGGTATCGCTATGGGATCTGGTACCGCCGTCGCTAAGTCTGCCGCTGAGATGGTGTTGGCCGACGACAACTTCTCTTCCATCGTCGCCGCTGTTGAAGAAGGCAAGTATTTGTCTGAAGAACTTATCCTTCTGGTTGATCTACAAACCAGATCTATATGATTTGATGTCTACTCTTCAGGTCGTGCCATCTACAACAACATGAAGCAGTTCATCCGTTACTTGATCTCTTCCAACATTGGTGAAGTAGTGTCCATCTTCTTGACTGCTGCCTTGGGTCTCCCTGAAGCTCTGATCCCTGTCCAACTGTTGTGGGTCAATCTTGTCACTGATGGTCTGCCCGCCACTGCCCTTGGTTTCAACCCACCTGATCTTGACATCATGGACAAACCACCCCGTAAGGCTGATGAGGGTCTGATCTCTGGATGGCTGTTCTTCAGGTATAACATGTTCAACTACTTCACAACTTCAATAGTGTAAATGTTTTGAAGTGTGCAACTTGCTCATATCATATGTTTACGCCAGGTACATGGCTATTGGTGGTTACGTCGGTGCCGCTACCGTCGGCGCTGCCTCGTGGTGGTTCATGTACTCTCCCTATGGCCCACAAATGACCTACTGGCAGCTTACCCACCACTTACAGTGCCTCAGTGGAGGTGATGAGTTCAAGGTAAAGTATCATTAAAAACTTTACATTCATACATTCCATTTTAACTTATTTTAATTTGAAACCAATATTAATACTATTTTCTGCTATTCTAGGGCATCGACTGCAAAATCTTCACTGACCCTCACCCTATGACCATGGCCTTGTCTGTATTAGTAACAATTGAAATGTTGAACGCCATGAACAGTTTGTCTGAGAACCAGTCGCTCGTGACCATGCCGCCCTGGTCCAACATGTGGCTGGTGGGCTCCATGGCTCTCTCCTTCACCCTTCATTTCGTCATCCTGTACGTCGAGGTGCTGTCGGTGAGTATCACGGTCTTGTTGTCGCCGCGGTGAGGCAGGTGAGGTCGAGGCCAGGCAAGTAACATTGATATGTCCGCAGGCCGTGTTCCAAGTGACGCCGCTGTCCGTCGACGAGTGGGTGACGGTGATGAAGTTCTCAGTGCCCGTGGTGCTGCTGGACGAGGTTCTGAAGTTCGTGGCGCGCAAGATCTCCGACGGTGAGAAGCGTTCGCAGCTGATGCACTGGCTGGACGGCATGCAATGGATTGTGGTCATGTGGGCCGTGTTCTTTGGCATCATCATCTACGGCCCCCTATAAGCGGCCCGCCCCGTGTGCCGTGCCACCACCCCGTTTGATTCACATCTAATACCTTCCTACCGATTTCTGCGCCACCCACCTATTCTATTCATGTTACAGTTTACATTTTCTATTCTCATGATAAGTTATTTCTGGTGTGGGTAGCGCATGGAATTTAACTGTGGAAACCGATAGACTTTGAGCCGCGCTCACCACAGTTTCAGTCATCTAACAGTTTGGAATGCTAATTCTGGCGCACATGGTGTGAAGTGATGCCCTAGTGCCCCCAGTGCACGTCCCCGGCCCGGTGTTGGACAGCGCGGACTGCGATGTGAGTGACAGTGCGTAGTGAGTGCCGCCGGACTAGCGTCTAAGTGTAGTTGTCTGTACTGCTTAGGTAGATCTTACAGAGCCGTGGCAGCGCACTGCGCCCCGCTCTAGTGATTATGCATTTTGTATGTGCGAGACAATAAATTTATTGGAGCTCATTTTTTTACAAATTCGTGAGTTCGACTTTCTTCCTTTTACTGAGTACATATACATAATATTATACACTTATTTGATGTGAAGAGGCTGTGAAGACCTTCATTATTATAAATGCTAACTAATGAAACACCAAAAATTGGTTTTATTGAAAGTATTTATAAGTTAGATTAATTGCATTTGATACATTTTGTATACAGTAGCATGGAAAGCTCCTCATTCAAATATTATTATAATGAACTCGCACATAGCTCAGTACCTTGTCCAATTGGACAGCAGACATGTTATAAAACATACTATTAATTGATAGTAATGTGCATTGTTAGCTTAGTGTAATTTATCGTAAGTGTATTTTAGGGACGTGGTTACAATTATTCTCTCAGCATAGGTAGTAATCAAAAGAATGTCTTTCTCCTGTCCTTTCACTGTGGTCGCTTCTTAACATTCCTATATGCATTTCGTTTTTCTTATATCAAACCTTGTTTGGTACTCAGAAGCGCTCTTATTATTAATCTAAGCTAATATTAATTAACAAATTTTTATGAATGTGTCCCTAGGCTGAACTAACCTTATGCCTTAGTGTGAACATGGTGGACTATATACACTGGCAGGAAGCTACACAGCAGTAACACTGTGCAGTGCATAGCCACAGGCTGGCAGTCACTTTGTTTAGTTACGTCTGTAGCTAGAGCCCGTGTGTACATTCCACCATGTGCACCCTTCGTGGCTCAAGTAATGTGTCCTCAACTATTTACTCGAGCTACATGTGACCTTCATGTATTACATCGAAACAATATCATGTCAAGCCTTGATTCAATATAATTATTACATACTATTAACATTTTTGTACTGTGTAAAATGTATGTTTTTTTTTACTATATTTACGACACAATAATTTATTGAAAAAAGCAATAATTATAGTCTTATGTATGTACAAACTTAAATCGGCTTAATGATCCCATGTACGGTAATAGCACTTCTATTTATATATTCGTCACTTGATGTAATTTTTGTTGTCTCCTATTTATCGAAATAACCATTTATATCAATTATATTTTACCATTGAGACATAATATTACTTTTTAAGTTTATGAAACCTGATCCAAAATTTGTTAGTGTGGTCCAAGGTCAGTACGTGCGTATGTGTTTTTTTTTTACTATATATAATTTAAAATAATAAAAATTGCATGTAAACATTGCATGGTTTATGACTTTAAAGAGTGCAGTGAGTTTTTTTTTATATAATGCATTAACAATACATTATATTTATAGTATAATAATATTATAAATTATGTGTACCTTTTCCATATTATCTACAATAATCAATTTGTCACAATTGAAAGGATGCAGCCGTCGATAGTTTATTTATTTAATGTGTCTTTTCTATATGCAACACACATTACCTGTCGAACAATATCACCAACACGGCACATTGAAGTGCCAGCATAGTATTAGAGATATCTTGAAACTACCTATTGCCTTCTTTGTCTATCTACCAAACGTTTATCCCACTCTTACACTGCACAATTAAGGGCATGCTCAAAAACCTTTGTTGTGAATGTCCCCTGAACTCCTAGAACTTGTTGCGTTTATCAGATTAACTTATTGAAATGTACAGTCGTTTATACATTTTACATATTAAAATAGTCAACAATATTAATGTTTGAATTATTTCCCTCCACACTCCAGTAGTGACACTACATGACACGCCCCTTCGTTATGAAATCTATACCACCCTATGTATTTATACTCCATGTCCTTAGCATACAAATAATTTTTAATCACTATTCTATTCCTACCTAACAATTTGACTTAACAAGTTTTGCAACCAACTTGATCTGATTTAAGTTGCAAATAGTGCTTCAGCCTGTAACATGCAAGTTACAGTTTGAACACCATTTCCAACTTTATTGGTAACCAAAGCAATTACGTATCGTCGCCAAAACTAAAGAAAGGTTACAAAATGGTTAACAAGCAATAAAACAACAAAACTATTGTTTGTAAATTGCAAAACTTGGTTGATGGTTCGCCACGGCAGGAACGGTCCGTGGCGTGTTCCGCGCACGATCCCCGCATGCTCTAACGTGGTGTTGTCCTTGTGTCCCCAGCCCAGCCGACGTGGAAGCTGTAAGCGCCGGAACGCCGTCGCAGCGCCACTGCACGCACATATTCCATGAACACTCATTGTTTGTTGTGATCCCGCAGTGAAACTACACATTTAATGTAACTACGACACGGTTGTGATATCTGCATAAGACCTAGTAAGTTCGGACGGCAGCCCCCGCTCGAGCGCACACAACACTAACACTCTCGTTGTTTTGCAGCGAACGAGGTGGTCATTGACAAGTGGTAAACGCCACCGAATCATAGTTCCTCACCCGCTTCTCTCAGCTACTTCTACCGCTCTCGTCTCCCGATGTAATGTTAATTGGCTTTAGATGTGTGCGAATTATAAAACGCGTCACGTAAGACTACGATTAGGCTAGGCTAGATAGGCCAGGGCCAGCGGTGGAGGAGAGGCGCGAGTGGTGGATGCGGCGACGAGGCGGGCCGGGGCGCCGCCCCCCGTCCACCTGCTCACCTGCGCTAGTTCACCAGAGGGGACATAATGTTGTTCATAATGTGTATATACTACAGTATGCTTAGGAGGTTTAATCAATTTGTTATATTACGTTGTTCTAATTAAAGACTACATGGTGCCCGTCGACAAAAGCAGTGCGATAGACGATGTGTACTTAAGTTGAGAGCACTCATTAATTTATTGTTATATTTTTATTATCTTATAATCTAGTTTGCTTATCTAGAGTCGAGTCATTTCTATTAGTGCTGACGCCTCGACGAGCAATATGGTGTCTGCAAGGGAAGGATAATTACATGATTGTCCAGTGTTTGGGACCTGAGTCCAAAAGTTTAAACATACCTGTACATTTTAATGTATTATTGTTTTGTACAATAAATCGTTATAAACGACAAGTGTTTCATTTCTCCTGGTAAGATACAACTGTATTAAATACCTACTTCATTATTACTAGAGTTATGTAAGTAGTACCCTCAAAAACCTATACAAAACTTCTTGATTTTGAGGGTAGTTAGTCGATTGACACTTCCTCCTTTTCTAAGTCGATTTAAACAGTACTCAACAACGTCTTGCAATTCATGAAAACCACAAAACATAACAGAATATAGAACAAAAAAAATTCTAAATATTATACAGTCAAATTAATACCTACCTAACGTTTCTAATTAAACAAATAAACATTAGGTACTTCTAAAATTTACTAAATTAAGCTTAACCGTCCTACTTTCCAGTTTGTTTTACATTATTTACCGACTTCAAAATAAAAGTGGGTTGAAATCCGTTTTTTTTAAACGATTTTACAAAAAATCTTTAGTTAACTGCGTTTGATTATCGCATCTGTAATCTAATATTTAAAAAATGCATATTATGATTGAAATGGAATAGAAAAAGTCGCATTGTTTTATTTACGGAACTAGACAAAATTCAGTCTAAAAAATGATTAGTCAATTTTTTTAATAATAAATACTTTTTCTTGATAAATGGCAGCACTGACATTTTTCGGTTTTAAATTCAAGTTGCCAGCTCCAGCCAGCTGTGATCTGTCTGCCAGTTGCCTTGACTGCCACATTTCGATTTTCGTGGAACGCGCCGTTTTGTTTATGTTCTACAGTTAATGCATTTTGTATAGTAAACTGTTAAAAGTTTGGATTACTTGAATTAGCTGGATACTTGTTTCTAATGAAAATAATTATATATGAATTATGCAAGTCGAGTCATTGATTTTAAGCTAAAATGATGGACGCATCTAGGTATGATCTATATTATTGTTTCATTATCATTGTAAGTGGTTAATTATGAAGTGGCGATAGGCAATATAATTGATTTCCTTTTACAGTGAGCTGCCAAACAAAATGGCACATTTAGATATAATGGAGATCGACGAACCCTCTCCTGAAGTCGCAGAAAATAAACCTCAAGTGTCTGAGTTGCCATCCAGAATTTTACGAAAAAGGAAGTCTATAACACCCGAATCAAGTAAATCATCGAATCGTAGAGTTAGTATGAAGCCAAGTAAACGTATTATGACTGAAAATGCAAACCCAAAGCAAATTGAAGCTTTGTATCTGAACAAAAAAGTTAAGTCATTATCACAGACTTTAGAAACTATTTACGAGGAACCAAAGGCTCAGAATAGTGAGACTGAAGTACTTATTGGTGGGAGGAAAGTGAAAAGACTGTTAACATTCCAATTAGGTAATCAATACACTAAAGAAAAGATAAAGAAGCGTAGAGCTAAAATAAAGAAACTTTTGGGAAACAAATCCTTCTTGAATAGAAAAAAGATACCAATGCAAGTGTTTCTTAAAACTATTGAGTGTTTGGAATTGGATGAAGTAGTGAAAACAGAAGCTTCTTTGCCACTTAAAGAAAAAGTGTAATGATTTCTAAAAGACTTATGGTACCTTACCCTATGGTATTATTCTACATGTGTATCAGTGTTCGTACAAAATAAACTTCAGCTGTTAGTAATGGCAGACTTTTTATTTGCTGTTATTATGCTAAAATTCAAACATTGAGATTCAAGAAAACATTTGTAAAACATGTTTATTGGAATACTTATTAGTAACTAATGGAATGATAAAGATTAACATTCTCAATAAATAATAATATTACTGAAATGTGAAACAGGACAAAACATTCAAGTTTTTACTAAACATTCTGTAGAAGATTTGGGACAGTTGTCATATTCTTTTATAAGTCCTACAGAATCGCCATCTACTTCATTAAAGCAGATGCAGCGAGGGTTTTCTACGCCAGGAGTGAAGAGTTGCCGAGGAACTCCTATCCAGCCCCTTTTAACACCACCACTGGAAAACAAACAATTTAAATCTGTATTATATTGAAAGTTGTTTCTACATTTGTCTCTGTCACAGTACCCATTTATACTATTAAAACAGCCGTAGCACACAGCTTGTATTATATTACTATGTATGTAAAAAGATTTTAAACCTAATTGCTACATACAAGTACATAAATCTCTAGGGTTCTGTAATCATAGAAAGTGAGAATATGTCCTCTGTATCAATAGATCTGTTAACAAATCTTTGCAATAAATGAATGTATTAGAATGTAGTGTGTTATAATTCATTACAACTTAACATAGGTATTGAGCATTTAAAAGGCTATATGTGTTCTATAAAAGTATAATGCCCCAGTAGTATTATCCTGTCTTGGTCAAATACACAGCACACCCAATACAACAAATTGTGGACCGTACCAAAAGTTGCCCCTTGTAGTCACCACTTGCAATACTTTCCAGTCATACATCTATAAAATATAATTTTAAAATGTGTATAGACCTAGATGTTGTACACCAAACTTTAGTGCCCTCATCAGCAGACCATGCAATATTACATGGTGGATATTTCTGGTCTTCTCTTCTTGACGCTTCTTTCTCCACTTCACATTGTTTTATTTTGTTAACAAACTCCTTCATGTAAACAGTCTCTTGACCACCAATGTCATAGAATCTTCCTATGAGGACACCTGAAGAAGTCATTCAAGTTTATCTGGTAAATATTAGCCTTAAACATTGTCTTATAATTCAATTCAAAATTAGAAATGATGAAAGTGTTCTAATTTGAAATGACCTATTTATCCTCATTGAGTACCGTCATTATAGACACAATTAAAGAACAAAAGGTTGCGGTCACTGGTGACCGCTCGGTGTTTGACAGTTTAAACATCGATCTTAATTTTAATTTGAAACTTAAAATAGTTTAATAAAAAAATCTATAACTTCTATTGGACGTTATGCATACTTACCAACTTCCATATACTTTTTCTTGAATGTATTCCGCCAGTGGACTAGACTGAATAAGTCATTGCAAGATAAGTCAATTATATGATCTTTTTCATCAGTTTCATCCTTGAAATTACCAGTAACAAGGGCTCTAGACCCATCTTTACCTAAATCATATAAGAAGTTTGTTTTAGTTTAGTTTTAAAGGATTCCTAATATTTATTTATTTTTAATTTACCATAATAATTACCTATAAAATAATGATATGCAGCACCCTTTTTATAATGTCTATTTCCTTCTGTAACATTGAAAACTGTGCCTAATACTGCCAAATATAAATCACTCTGTGTCTCCCCATTAAATTGTGCTAATTTGGTTGCAGTAAAAATACCAGGTTTTTCCTCATTGGTGTCATTTAAAAAATCTTCATAGTATAACTTCAATTTAATATGATATAAGTAAGCTCCCAAAACTACCGCAATTGGAACTATTAATTTGAAATTATTTATTATAGCTGTACAAACCATAGTTTACTAATAAGATTAAAGTTGAACAAATATCAAATTTTACTTAGTATTCAAATTTTCACACAGAATGAGCTTACAGCCTACAAAAAATACTTTTCGTGTTGAACTGTTGAATAACTGTAAAATTATTCGACATCGACGATTCGACAAGGGATACTTTCAAAAAAAGCACCTTTGTTGCTCTCTTTCTGTCAATGTCATGGTCAAAATGTAAACAAAACAAACATAACAGAGCAAAATTACAAACATCTGTCAAGTCAGCAGATAAGTGTCAAATAAATGTATTTGATTTCAAGGCTTTTAAGTTTGTCTTTAAGCAGGGAGCCAATGGATGCACGTGGGATGCACCGATGCAGGTGGCGAGTTATCGTTCGACGTAGAGGACTAAGAGGGAGGCCTTTATCCAGCAGTGGACGTCTTTCGGCTGTTGATGATGATGATGTAGTACTGTCAAACCTATATTTATGATACAATTTTTCGCCGGTTAAGCAATAAATCAGTAAAAACTTCTTGAATCTATAATTTATATTTACTTGATAGTAAAATTAGGCATATTACCCCGGACAGAGCAAACTAATCGGTCCACTGAAATGCCACAATGCCTTGCCAAGCTAAGGAGACTATGATGCCAAGTGTCAAACCTTCTCGCATCATCGCAACACTAATGTTTTTATCGAGAAATTCTAACCTTTCGTATTAACTAGAATTACCTATTATTCATATATGTATAATGATAAAAATTGATCTATAGTTTTTTTTTAAGTTAACTCAGCGAATTTCCCAAAGCAAACAAGCAAACCTCTGAAAGTAATGTTATAAAATTATTACTTAGTTAATATTGTTATTCCTTGTATACTTTGAGTGTCACCTCTGACTATAAATTTTAATCATGTCGCCAAAATTAATTCATCAAATAAGAACAATCGCTCAGTCTCCACAGCGAAGAAGAGTTGTTGTAACAGGACTAGGAGTGGTATCTCCTCTTGGCACAGGCACAGAACTAGCATGGCAAAATATTTTGAAAGGTCAATGTGGCATAGTCAGTCTGCAAGGCAATGATTACTCTAAATTACCTTGTCGAGTAGCCGGGTTAGTACCTTTGGAGAAAGATGATCAAGTGACAAAAGCACTATCCAAGTCCAACTTAAAGTCCATGGCTCCAGCTACATGTCTCGCCCTTGTTGCAACAGCAGAAGCATTAGCTGATGCAGAGTGGTTACCAAAGTCTGATATTGACAGAGAGTCCACAGGTGTGGCTATCGGGATGGGAATGATAGATTTGAAAGATGTCTGTGATACTAATGAGGCATTGAAAATAGGTTACAACAAAGTTAGCCCTTTCTTTGTTCCTAGAATATTACCTAACATGGCAGCTGGTCACATAAGCATTAAATATGGCTTCAGAGGACCTAATCACGCTGTGTCTACAGCATGTGCAACAGGTGCACATTCAATAGGTGATGCGTTTAGATTTATAAGAAACGGTGATGCAGATGTAATGGTCTGTGGAGGTGCAGAGTCTTGTATCAGTCCTTTAGCCATAGCAGGCTTTAGTAGATTAAGAGCACTAAGCACATCATTCAATGATGAACCAAGAAAAGCATCTAGGCCATTTGATAAGAAACGAGATGGCTTTGTCATGGGTGAAGGTGCAGCTGTTTTAGTTTTGGAAGAGTACCAGCATGCATTAGAGAGAAATGCAAAAATGTATGCAGAAATTCTAGGATATGGCTTATCAGGAGATGCAAGTCACATAACTGCTCCTAGAGATGATGGAAGTGGGGCTGTGTTATCAATGAGCCGTGCATTGAGAGATGGCTGCATTGATAAAGAGAAAGTTACCTATATTAATGCCCATGCTACATCAACTCCTATAGGAGATGGTATTGAAGCAACAGCCATCAAAACCCTGTTTAGGGCTCACAGCGGAAATATATTAATTTCATCCACAAAAGGCGCTCATGGCCATTTATTAGGTGCTGCAGGCAATTTAGAAGCAGTATTTACAATTTTGGCCTGTCATCGAGGAATAATACCACCAACAATCAATTTAGAAGAACCTGTCGATGATTTAAATTATGTTGCTAAAGAATCAAAGCCATGGACTGTAGACAGGAGAGTTGCATTAAAAAATTCATTTGGTTTTGGTGGTACTAATGCAACACTTTGCATTGGGCAGTTGTAAATAGAGATATGAATAGAAGTCTGTATAATAGAATTGCATAATATGGTGTAAATAAAACTTGTTATCACTGTATTATATAGTATATTTAAAACTGAGTTTACAAATGTTTTCCGACTTTAATAACAATGGCGAAACAGCCAAGGTAACTCCCGACCTTTTGCTTTTCGAAGCTTTTTGATAACGAGCAATAATTCATCATGAACCACATAATGTTGAGTCACATAAAGCATTGAAATAAAATAATTTGATCAAAAAATGCTACTTTAAATATTTCATTACTAAGCTTTCTAACAATTTAAATAGTAAATATATTAAATGCTGGTTTTAATCCAGTCAATCCATTGTATTTTTGGAATCATTCAAACATGCACTTGCAGGTTTTCCAGTGCCAGGCACTATGTCACCAAATACAATTTTAACACTCGAAAGATTTTCAAATTCAAATAATTTATGAACTATATTAGAATTTGCAACCACCAACATTTTCATACTAATCATTATGGTTACAATACATAATGATACGGATCTATTATAAATGGCGTATTATAAATTGATTTAGGAAGAGAAATCCTTTCCTTTGATTCTGCATAATGTTGATATTTTCACATGATGGTTTTGTAGATACGGATTATTCAAGAAAATATAAAATCCGTTTTTTTAGCATGAGAACAATATGTCAGTCTATTCATTATTTGCACTGATTACTTAATAATCTTCATCTAATGTAGAAATAATGCAGATTACTGAATATTTAACACAATTTATTATACTATGGTAAGCAGGGAGACAGACAATGTATCTGAACAACTTAACCTGGTATGCTACAATACATGTAATTAACATTAGTTTCTATTGAATGTAGAGGCTCTAATTGTTACAATATACACATAATCAATATGTTCAGACCGGATCACAACTTATTACTTACTGAACTCCTGGATATTAGTAATATTAGGTGTTTTATCGACAGACCATAAAAGCAGTGTATATAGCTATCCTTCAATAACATGACTGGTTTTACAAAGTGCAGTTGAATGATGATAGTTAAGTGTCGCCTCTAAGCGGGCTGCTTGTCTTGTTTTAGCGGCTGTGTCTGCGGCGTGTTCACACATAGCTGAGCGAATTTTTGGCGGAGGTTCTGTCGTAACTCCTGTCTTTTTTCCGTTATATTTCTACGTGATTTAAATTCCATTACCTCTTCTATAGGAATATAACTTGTATCCTGTTCTTCATCTGATGAACATGTGTCCTAAAAACAATACAAACAACTTAGTACAAAATTATTTGACATACAATAGTATAATTGGTAACTGAATATCACTATAACTTACCATTAACATTTCCTGTAGAGAAAGTGTGAAACCTGAGCACAAAGTCTTATCATTCTTAGCCAAATCTAAACAGTCGCCTCTCTCATGATTACAGAACCCTTCGGAACACGCCACTTCTGAACCTTCGGGTGAACTCATGAGAGAGGAACTCCCAGACATAGTTTCGCAGCAACCTCCATTGTTCCCAGATGAGTAGCCACAGTCTTGAGAATGCTCGTTCGGCGAGAGGTTCCCGTTTTTGGTCCGTTTCTTGCCCGTTTTTTTGGGTGAGCGACGTTTTGTAGTATCATCGTGACACGACTGACACCCGTCACCACTGGCTTCGTAACACTGGTGATTAATGTAGTCGCGTGGTGAAAGCAGATCCGTCGGCGTGTCTCGTTCCTCTAATAAACATTCCTCGCATTGGCACTTTTCATCTGGTTCTTCTGAATCAGCCTCCTGTGATACATTAAATTTATAAATAAAACAAATATACTCTAATAGACAACAAAATTAACTTAAAACTTACTTTGCATTTGCTCTCAACAGCCTGTCGTTCCTTCTTCTTGCGCCGTTTGAGTTTCTTCTGTTCCTTTCTCTGTTGCCTGGTCTGTTCCTCCTGAGTAATTTCATCATATAGAAGTTGCAATTTTGAGACGCCGGTTTTATGTTCCACAGCAGTTTCAAACTTGCGATAAAGTGCCTCAACCGCAACTGCGGCGAGTGTTTGACAGGTGCCTTCTTCTTCCCGTAGCCTTAGAGAGATGCGTTGCAGTCGCTCATAAATACATATGCCGAGACAGATAAGAACCTGTAATCATAATTGTTCCGTTAAAGTACCTAAATAGTCAAGCTGAGGAAGAGGCAATAATAATTATTGAAGCACAACACTGCACACTGGTGTTATCTTGCTTCATACTCTCCATAGTTTGATCCAACACCTGACATACATACCTCCTCTTGTGCAATTTCCAATGTCTTAGCATGTCTCTCTCTGTGGTTTCCAAGAAGTTCAGGCTCCGCTCTAGCGATAAGGTGCGCGATGTAGTCAGTCTTAGCTTGCAGGTGCAGGTGCTTGTCTAATAGGCATCGCTTGATACCACCATATAGCGCGCCAACGTATCCTTTCTCTTTTTGTGGTTCCTTCTCTTCCACTAACAGCTGATAAGCTCGCAATACCTGCAGGCAACATAATACTGTTATCACAGCGAGTAACCATTGAAGCTAACATAAATTAACCTTGAACAACACAGCCTTGTAATCATTAGCTTATCACAGTTTGTCTTTATAAATTCATAACAACTTTCTATGGGACAGTGAATTGATAAGACTTCATGGATTTTCTATGAAAAATGTTCAATCTTTCTAATACTGACTGATCAAATCATAAGGCTTTCAAACAGAAAGATTGAAATGAGGATGATTGATGACATATATTTGCCTATGATAGATAGGTCACAGATAAAAACGGTGACACATTTGTAAATTATTTGTTTTTCGAAAGTAACGTTATTGTATCAGTAAGCAAAAAAAAACATTGATAACAATGATTTTTCTACAATTTATATCAGTTACTCTTTGATTGATATTGATAATGTTTATACATGTATTATGTAAGAAAGATAAGCTATGCTTTAAAACATAAACTTAGATTAACCTCTAGACTGCCACTACCTAAGACATAATAGAAAGCACATTTTGTATTAAACTGTCAAACACCAAGCGGTCACCGGTGACCACAACCTATTGTTCTTTAATTGTGTCTATAATGACGGTACTCAACAAGTTAAAATTATATGATGACTGATCTTTTTCAATAAATTGAATATTGAATCCTAACCGGAGAATAATATCACGGTAGAACTTACAAAATTACTAGTTGCCAGGTAATCTCATTTGTAGCGTGCTACTGAAGAGAGTTGTGTCCAACAACAGGTAAATATGGGTCGAAGAAGTCGATTATGAATTGATAACAGTCAACAAAATGTTAGAGAATGCCACCCAGTTTAAGTCCGCCATCGTATGTGTATAGAAGTGCAATTAAATAGAGAAAATATGTTAAAAAGCTCACCTTAGTTTTACAATCAGCACAGAAACGATGTTTTCTTAAGTAGTTATGGAGCGTGTCGTGTAACGTGTTGAAGTGTACGAGGGTGACGTGGTCGCGGGCGGAGGCTCGCATGGCGTCCCAGGCGGCGCGCCAGGCCGCCCGGCCGCCCCAGCCCCACGCCGCCCAGCCCCAACCACACGGCGCACTGGGCCCACCCGCGGCGCCAGTACCCGCACTCGTCGCTTGCCCACCCCAGCCTCGAGCTGTGCCAGCCTCTAACGAATGTAATGTACATCGTTGGGATTTCTTCCACCGAGGCTGACTGAGAATAAGACATTCTATGCCCGAACTACAACAATAATAATATTTATGTATTTTCATATATTTAAAACAATGTCACAATCAGGAAATGAAATCGCAAATGCAGAGTAAAGGTTCGAACCCACATCAATGTTCAACTGTTAAGGCTTAAGGTTCCTGACAATTTTGGAATGATTTAATGTAGATGTCTTAACCCATATAACACACAGGATTGACTTGAGTGTCTTCAAGTGAATGCCTGCTCCATAGGTCGCATCCTTGCTTACCACCAGGTGAAATGCCAAAAATGTTTTCATCATGGATGATCAATAGTTTGTGGAATAACATAAATTTGTGTGACAGTAATAAAATTAGATATGTATGAGCACAACAGTGGCCCCACCAAGTCGGCATTAAATTGTCATCACATAACATAAAGACATTACACCAGAGTCTAAAACAAAGGGTGTGTATGTATAGTGTTGTTTTCGCCAGCTATAATTGTATTAAATAATAGTCATACAAAGAGTGTAAACTTGTGAACTCATAGTTAATAGTTAAAACAAATATTACCTGTGACCATTTAGTAAAGTGGCTAGGGACTGTGGATGTATTATTTTGTCTTCTCTTATTGTCATTATTTCATCGGGTGTCAGCACTAATGGATCCAATGTGGGATGTCCTGATTTACATAGTTGATAAAAAAGGCGTTCCACACTGCAAAGAAAAAACAATATTTGTAAACTACCCCTAAGATTGAACAATCTCCGGCCACCGTAAGCGCGGGCCTGCGGACGGCGAGCATGGGTGGCTCCCCGTTCGACCAGAAACAGACCCGAGTGTCCGGCGCGTCGCGTTCCGCGCGCGCCTCAAAGATGCCGATTCGGAGTCGCGGAGAACCTAACGGGTAACCGGGGCTCCGGCTCGACGTGCAGGAGAAGCTGGTTTTTAGTCAGTAAGAGTCTGACACTCCCTCCCGCCTCACCCAGGCGGGAGCAGTCATTCATTGATTTTCCCCCCATAAAAAAAAACCCTAAGATTGAAGGATTCCAACTGTCAAACACAGAGTCTTGAGTTTGTTAATTCCCTACTTAGGGAACTAACTCACATTATTGAACTTTTTTATAACTACTATTCACTATACAAAACACAATGTTTTGGACTACTTAACTAATATGCCAATTATTAAATTTCATAGCCAGAGAAATTATCGCATTTAAATAATTATACTCGTTCAACATCGGTATGAGAAGACAGATATCAATAACTGACGTATTGGCAAATAAAACATAACCGTGACAATATTTAATCATATTACATGATATTTACTCAAGTAATTTCAACAAACTATTTAAAATTTATGATAAATTACTACAGTCCTCAAGTAATTGACAATTTCACCTCTATATCAGTTAGAACAATCAATCTATGATGTTTTAATAAATAATAGCAATTATGGTCATTGCATGTAATAGTTGTATCTAACAAGTTTTAGGTTATAAGTGTACCTGAAGATTGATAA